CTTTGCAAAAATGCAGAAAAGTGAAGTGTAGAACGAAAACGAGTCAGAGGGTGTACCCGACTCACCGAAAAAGGTAAAATATAATTTATAAACCATGTATATTATATATATATATATATATATATATAGTATGATATGTATTTGTTTATTCTTCAGGGCCAACTTTATCAACAAGTACATCGAGCTTTGAGGCTCTAGATCCCCACGACACAAACCTAAGCCGCCTGGCTACCATAATGTTTCAAAAGACTGCTGATTATTTATACGGGGAACTAAACAGCCACACATGTAACAGCAATTTATTTAAATCTATCCAAACTCGATCTAACACTAATTACTTACAGGAAGACTACAAACTTTTAGAACAAATGAACACTGTAACATTATCCAAGTACGCTGATATGAAACAGATTACCACAAATGTAGGAAAATCTATAGCTGATTTAGATGAAAAATGTAAATTTTATCACATACCTGGTGAATAAATCCTTGAGTTTATTTTTAATTCCTATTTCTGTCCAGATTTATCCCTGCTGCCTTGTCTAGAGCAGATAAACGAGATTGAAGAGTGTGTTAATAAACTTGAACAAGCCGCTTATAAATTAGATGCGTATTCTAAAAGATTAGAAACCAAGTTTAAAAATTTGGAGAAACGATAACATAACTTTTTTGTATTATATTTGTAAATAAAATGGATGATTTAATATTGTTGAAATGCTTATGAGAATGTTGAAAAGTTGTTATATATTTAATGTGAATGTAATTTGCAATACGCTGAATTTATGTACATTAAGTAATTAAAAATATAATATATAGAATACTTTTACTAACCTGTGTGTATAATTTTAAAGACAGCAATTTATTCCCGAGTTTTTGTGAGATTTTGATGGAATTGACAGTTGAAAAAAAAACCTTTAAAATAATATAGGTCCATAAAAAGCAATTTAATTTTAAGCCCACAATAATTTTTAGTTTAACTACTCTCTATAATATTTTATTTCAAAGGTTTTGTTTCTTATCATGCAAAGTTTCATTAAAATTCCAAATTCCTACATTTATCTTTTTGTTATAGAAGTTATTAAAAACTAGTGGGGTGGGTGGCATTGTGCCTTAAGGCAAATTGCTGGAACTTCCTGTACCGTAACGAAATGTTCGAGAAATACTGAATGTTTTCAAATAGATTATTAATAATATTGTAACATTGGCTAATATTTATAAGAATTATATAAACTGAATTGCAAAGTTGAAATTATTTGTTTAAAGTATATTAGAACTATAGTCAGAATTAAAAATAAAATCTGAATTATTTTCGATATACAAAATATTAAAAAAAAAAAAAAAAAAAAATCAATTATTTCGTTAAGACAAGCAGAAAGTTCTTTGAATCAATTGAATCAGACGCTTAGTTCTCTCAAAAACTGCCATTTTTTGTACATTTAGCTCTGTATTTCCGAAACGGCTAGGCCTGCCCTTGCGTAAAACTAATAACCCCTTTTCCCAATCATTACTAATTGAATGTTTTTTAGATCATTCAAATTGGATACTCTGTTCTCTCAAAAAGTCGATTTCTATTTTCTGCACTCTTTACTCCGTATCTCCGAAACGGCTGGACCTGCCTTTGCCAAAAACTAATCAGTTCTTCTCCCTATCAATAGGAATCAAATGTTTTTTGAACTATTTAAATCGGTTGATCCGTGCGCCCGAAATCGTGACTGGAAATTTGTATCCATACGTACGTCTAAGGTATGCCCCTTAAAAATGTTCAGAAACCTTCAAAACGTCGAGAAATGTAAAAATTTTTAATTCCGATTTTCGGCCCATTACAATAACTTACCCTACGGGAAGTTAATTAAAACTAAATCGTCCTAAAAAAATATCATTAAATTATAAAAGTAAATATTTTATATTAATATGTAATTAAACAAAAATAAATACACCTATTCCTATAAACTCTTTTTTTTATTAAAATTTTGGTGTAAAAGACAAGACTACAAAATTTACAAACGCTTATTAATTATAATAAGGCAATAATTTACCGTATAAATATAGTATATATAAATATAAATAATTATTTTTATATATTTCATATATAAATTATTTTATTAATTAAATTATTTCAGATCAATAATTTTTATTTCAAGTGAAAATTATATATATATATATATATATATATATATATTATATATATATTAACAAAGTCTAATAATCGGTCATAACATCAATAAAAAACATGAATTTCTTTCAAGAAATTGTTTTAAATCCATACGTTTCGGCTATAATCCTAGCCTTCATTCAGTGGAAACTAAAAATAAAATTAAAAACTAAAACAATTGAATTGGAGTGAAAATAAAAAATAAAAAGAGTAAATAGTACTTACAATTAGTTAATCTTAGTGTTAAATTGAAAAATTTTAATAATCCATGGTATCAGGATATGGCAACGCACTACACTATGTATTATAAACATTAACTTGAATTTACACAATATTTCACAAAATACTAATTTAAAAAATCACAATTAGAAATCTCGTCCATCAAAATAAATGTCTAGATTGTAATTGAATTTACATAGGAGAAACAAGCCAGAACTTAATGAAACGTTTACAACAATATAAAAACAATTCAAAAAATCCAAGACAGTTTAAAACTATGATTGCGGAGCATATTTATACTTTAAAACACAATATGGACTGTTCTAACCCGACTGTACTACAATCCGAACGAAATTTATTCAAACAAAGAATTATAGAAGGATCTTTTTTAACTATTCACAGCAATAAAATAATAAATAAACGGAATGAACTTAACACGCTGTGTGACACAAATCTCTTTTATTTAGATAGTATTACCAAATTTCTCACAAAATAATAAAACGACGCGCAAAGGATTCGCAATTCGTTCCACACATGTGTAGAATCTTGGTAAAAAATATTTTTTAAAAAGTCTTTTCTCCATTATATCTTCAACCAGTCTACGACCAACACACTATCCAACTGCAATTTTTCAAATCAGTATTTTGTGAAAATATTGTGTAATTACAAGTTTAATGTTTATAATACATAGTGTAATGCATTACCATATCTTGATACCATGGATTATTAAAATTTTCCAATTTAGCACTAAGAATAACTAATTGTAAGTACTATTTACTGTTTTATTGTTTCTTTTCACTCCAATTCAATTGTTTTAGTTTTTAATTTTATTTTTAGTTCCACTGAATGAAGGCTAGGATTATAGCCAAAACGTATGGATTTAAAATAATTTTTGAAAGAAATTCATGTTTTTTATTGATGTTATGCCCGATTACTAGACTTTGTTAATACATATTTCAACATCAAATTCAGAATGATACAATATATATATATATATATATATATATATATATATATATATAAATTATTATGGGATATGTATATTCAATATAAAAAATATGATTGTCTATTTAATTCGAGAACACGTCACTGGACTATCAATCAATTCATTTATCATTTTAAATTACTTATATATATATATATATATACATAGCTGGGCACCGTTAATCAAATAGTTAACTTCGTTAATCGTTAATCCGCTACAAAAAAAGTTAGCTTCGTTAAACGTTAAAGCGTTACATTTCGGAAGAATTAACGCAAGTTAACGTTAATCGTTAATCCGTTAATATGTGTAAAATTACATTTTTATATCGTTGCGTTAGTGAACTTAAAAAACTTATTAGTTTAGATTCTGGAAGTTAACAGGTTATGAATAAAACAAAATACTTGTATAATTCAAATGTGTAATTTAACCCCTCGCGCGTTTTATGCACACTTCCGTGTGTATAAGGAAAATGGCACAATTATCACATACCGTGATAACGCTATTGGTCAACTTTCGTTTTTATGATTGCATATTGTTTTTACAAGAATTTTTTTCTAAATAAGGGAAAGAGTTTTTTTAACTTCCCGTAGGGCAAGTTATAGTAATCGCAAAAAAATCGAAAATGAAAATTTTTGCATTTCTCGACGTTTCAAAGGTTTCTGAATATTTTGGCATACCTTAGAAAAAATGTATGTATGTGTGTGTGTGTATGTATGTGTATTCGGATACAAATTTTCGTCGACGATTTCGGGAACACGGATCAACCGATTTGAATAATTCAAAAAACATTCGATTCGTATTGATAAGAAGACGTGCTGATTAGTTTTTGGCAAAGGCAGGTCTAGCCGTTCCGAAGATATGGGGCAAAATTGAGCCAAAAACGGTAACTCAGTTTTTAAGAGAACGGAGCGTCCGATTTTAATAATTCAAAAAAACATTTTACTTGTATTGACAATTATGAAGAACTGATCAATTTTTCATGAAGGCAGGTCTAGCGGTTTCGGAGATCTAATGAAAAAAGTAAAAAAAATGCCATTTGGCGGTCAAAAATGATCATTAGACATATGCACATCAAATTTCAGATATTTTATAGAGATTTTAACAATAAGTATAAATTTTGTCTATTTTCCTATGGGTTCCGTATCAATGTTTACCCGTTAGACAGCGACGCCGCTTACGCGCTCTATATTTTGTCTCTATGCAGTCCTAAAGCAGTAAAATTGCTTTGAAAAAAAGTTCAAATCTTCCAAAATATGTCAAAATAAAGAATTTCAGAAAAAATTAATTTTTTGTCCAATAGTTTATAGTTTCTGCATTCCTCTCTACTGCTGTCATACGTTTCCGAAACTGCCACATCAACCGAAACTTTGGGTGAAATGCCGCGGCAAGTTGGCACTGTTCATCATTCAGGAGTAGTCCAAATCTTTCCTCTATGCCGTTTAATAAGGCATTGGCTAAAGCTGTGCCGTGCGGTAAATAGTAGGCATTGGATTAACGATTAACGGACTTCTCGCATTTTAACGGAGTTAACGTGTCCGTTAACATTTTTAAAAGTTAACTTAAAGTTAATCCGTTAATCAAAATGTTAACTTCGTTAATTAACGATTAACGGATTAGACGAGTTAATGCCCAGCTATGTATATATATATATATATATTATATTATATTATATTATATTATATATTATATATTATTAAATTACTGTTGCTTACAGCCGTCCTTAGTCTTCTTTTTCTTTTTCTCCAACGATGAAGTTCTGCGTTGCCCTTGTATGGGCATATAAGGGGGCGCTGGAGAACTGTCCTCACAATAGTCTGAAGGCTCTGCAAAAATAATATGTAACTTGATACCTTGACTTTTAATGGATAGACCGATATATTTTATATTTTTTTATTACCGTTAGGAGTAGAAGGACTATAACCTCCGTTTGCAATCTTCGAAGGGGAGCTTCTGTGTCCACCAAACAGGTGACTGGCTGATTCTCGACTGCTGTGTGAATTCAGACTGTTGTTTGGGTTGTATGTAGGGTCTATGGCTGCAGCAATATTGCCTTGGATAGAAGACATATTGTTTAGGGCCCATTTGTGCAATTTTTTAAATTAATTGATATTTTCAAGCAGTTTTAGACACTTTTATATGTTTAAACGTACTTTTCAAAGTGATATATCTTTAAAACAATGGCTCTGAGCAAAAAAAGTATTGATGCGCTTTTTGTAGACAATTTTATGCTCTACAATATTGTCTCAGGTAATTTTGCGATAAAACTGACCATTTAGCTGAAAATCGCGAAAAAGTCATTTTTTGACCATTGACCTTATGCCATTTGTTTAGCTCGCATCGGATTGATAAGGACTTGTAAGATTTCTTTTACAATCTATATATATAAAATAGGATCGCTTAAGTTAGAATACTTTTAACTCACGAACGGCTGAATCGATTTAGATGAAAATTGGCAGGGAGGTAGTTTAGAGCCAGGAGAAACATATGAAATACTTTTTATCCCGTTTTTCATTTTAATTCAGAATTAATTATTTATCAACAATCCATTTAGTTTATGACATTTACTTTCAATTGTCAACTGTCATTCGGTTGATACAAAAATATTAATATGCATTTTTTAATCACCACTTTTGGAAAATTATTACGTTAATAATATACATTTTTTAATAACCACGGAAAATTATTACGAAGTTGCAAGTGAATTAATTCTTAATAATAGCAAGCGATGCCAGATGGACGATGGAGAAATTTATTTCTTGGCAATGGGAATGTAATTATTTATGTATAGGTATTTATGTATATTTGTTTATACGTATTTAAATAGAGTATTTAAGTTTTTTATATTCTAAATATCAGCAATAAGTATAATCATCAACAAATAAATAAAAAAAATAATTTTGAAATATAGTTTCTTAACAAAACCTCAAAATTTGTAATAAACATGTAAATAGTTATATATTAATATGTAAATAGTTGTTAATTTATAATTTCTTTTTACATATCTTATAAAATGTTTCACGTGTTTACAACTAATTGGAATATATATTATCAGCAAATGTGCTTTGATTGGACAACAAAAAAGGCCTAATTGAAATTACTCGACTACCTTATGTTAAATATACCTTATGTTTAATATTAGTTCTTGGCTCTATATATACAGGGCCGGTCCTGTCTTGCATGCGATGCATGCAAAAAATGCGGGCGCACGCTTTAGGGGGCGCCAAAACGAGATTCGGAAATAGAATTTATAATATATTATACACATTTTTTTAATATAAAAATTAGAATACTTAATAGATTATAATAAACAATCTAACTTAATTAGGGATACGAAGTCAGAAAAAGCATTTATTCACATTTATTTTGCTATGTGATATCAGTAGAAACAATTAACCGATTAATAACTCTGCAAATTAGTAAATAACAGCTTTGTTCATTGCTTAATCTACTTATTCAATTTTTTCTTTGTTTGAATTTACCGTGGAATCGAAATAGAAATTATCTAGTGTTCAATCTCATAGGCTCAAACCTGCGAAATATTAAATTAATTATTGGGCATTATTGACGAAAAATTGCGAGCTGATTTAGTTGAAATGGAACTTGAACTTATTAAAGAAATATATACTAAATTTAATAGAGAAAATGGAGAGTCAGTGCTTAAAAAATGGCTTGTTTGTTCCGAAAAATTGAATTGTAACTTCTGTTTTTGTTGTAAATGTTTCACATCTGATGAACCTTGAACGTTGAAGACATGCGTGGTTAGGGTTATGGAAATGGAACAAATATGAAAAATGAAAGCAAAATGTACTTAGGAACAAAAATCTTTAAGCTTTTTTATACATAATTTAATTATTAACTATGCAGAAATAATACAGATACAAATATAATTTGTTTGTTTCAGTACAGTTAAGGGAATGTGTAATTTCTTTGCATCTTTTACTAATTTTGGACAATACTTTAAAAATACGTTATAAGTAAAACTTTAAAACAACAATCTGATACTTTGAATCTGATGGGAAAGTAAAGCTGAATACAATTCGGCTCTTACGATACCAATAAGGAGAAGTTTACGATGCAATTTTGGATATTGTGAATAATGAAAAAATAAATTAAAATAAAATTTGATTTAAAATATAAAATACGAATGTTATGTTTAAAAATTAAAGACTATTCTTTTTTTGCTCTTTTGGCGTGATTTGCTCTATAGAATAAATCGCATAATAAATAAGTTAAATGTTTCAAAACCAAAATATTAATATTACACCTACGTTAGAAATAATTGAGAATTTAAAAATATTTGATTATGATCAACCCGCGAATCGCCTCGATTTTCTAAATAAATTGACACAGAATGATTAAAAATTAATTTAAAAAAATAAAGTAAATGTTTATATAATTTTAATGAAAAACTGATAAAACAGTTGATATTATTGGAGGGGGGGGGCGCTAAAACAAATCTTGCATGCGGGCGCTAAGGACCCCAGGATCGGCCCTGCCTTTACCCTTGAAGTATTAATATTTTTGATTCTCTAGAAATTGTTTAGAATTTACCTTACTTAGCAAAACAACGTTTGCCGGGTCAGCTAGTAATATTATAAACAAGTTTGCCAAGTTACAGCCCACTATGAATTATTGTAACCTTGAATGCGTAAATTGACCGGGCTAAAGTCCATTTCGGATTTCAGTTGTAAAAATTATCTTCTATATATATAAAAATAAGTCGGGTTTTCCTTCCTGACGAAATAACTCCAGAATGCACGAACCGATTTTGCATTCGTTGGAAAAGTCTCGGGCTCTGCAAGTTTTACAGCTAAGAAAATTAGTTGTGCATGGCATCGTGCCTTAATGCAAGCTGCTGGAACTTCACGCACCGTAATTAAAAATTCGAGTAATGACATTAGTGAGAATTGTCAGAATTATGCTTGGTTAAGTTAACGAGCAATTGTTGCCGCAAAGAATAATGATGTACGCGCACTAATTTCACCATTCAATTAAAAATTGCTGGCGATTTAGTGACATACCAATGATTCCGACTGGTCTTCCGTTTGACTTCAAACGATTGCAATTTCCAGTTCGCCTTGCGTTCGCAATAACAAGTCGCAAGGCCAATCGCTTAGTGTTTGCGGGATAAATTTCAAATAGATTATTTAGAAAATCATTGTTTTTCACATGGGGGCAGTTATACGTTGCCCTTTACACGAGTTGGAAAACCATCCGCTTTGTTTGTGTTAACGTCAGACCAAAAAACAAAAAATGTGGTTTACCAAAGAGCACTTCAATGAAACGGATAATTGGCGGATTCACACTTTCATTTACTTAGAGAAGTTCAGCTAAAAAACACTTCATTTTTGTAATCGAAATAAATTCATTACTGTTGTGCAATAAAATCAAATTTTTCCTTTTCAAATATAAAACAAAAAAAATTTCTTTATCTTTCTCACGAAACCACCTGGTGGCGAAACGGAGTTCGTCTGGTTTGCTAGTTATCTAATAAATAAAATGATCATAAAAACTCACCACCGCCACCGCTTCCTCCAGCAGAATTCGCTAAATCATCAGGATCAGGATACCTAGGCTTATTAATTTTACTCGGTGCAGCACCTAAATCCAAATGTCTCGGCCTGGACGACATGCCCAAATTATCTTCATGAAAACTTTGCGTTAAATGATTTATGGGTTTCTCATAATCATACTCCGTTTCTTTGATGAAAGACCCTGGTTTGTATTCCTCAACGAATCCACTGGATAGGAGTAGTTGACGTCGTCTCTTAGTTGTAGAGGATCACTGAGGTAAAACAATTTGAAAGTAAATAAATTTAAATACAGTAGAATCCGATTAGTATGACGCCGGATATATTGACAACCGCTTATTATGACGTAATCGCACTAGGAAGTTTGGTTTCCCAATACAATTCCTTAAAAAAACAGCTGTCTAGTCGGATATATTGACATCGCTTACATTGACATGTCGCTTATAATGACCCAGTTTTGCAAAACATTATGTCCAATTATAATGACCGACATGATTTTACATGATGTGGCCAAGTCTACGAAAGCAATTGCTATTTTTTTTTGTGCACAATAGCACCAGGGACTATTTTGCAATAAAATTATGTAAAGAAATCAATCAAAAATTACTGATTACTTACATTAGAAAATCATATTTGTATGTTCATGGGTAGGGTAGACCAATTATTAATGGTCCACCACGGATATCTCATAAACAAATAAAATTAGATTTTTTTAACAATTGTATTTGATAGTAGAGGGCAAAAAATGTATAAATTCATAACCAGCCATCACCTAGCTTTATTCTTATGACTTTGCTATCAGAAAATAAGCAGCACATGAGTGGGATAAAAAGGACCAGCAGAACCTTTATTTTGGCGAAGGTGTAAGCAATAAAATAGTAAAGTTTAAAAAAAAAGCAATTTTACAAGAGATTAATTAAATAAATTGTTATTCCGGCTTATCTGATGAATATTTCATACAAATAGCAGATCAATGTAATATACTGTGTTATCTTTGTAACAAATGTACCCACAGAATTAATATTTTGCATTGGTTCAATAATTTAGCGTAAAATCCCTTTAATTTAATAGAAGAAATTGCATCTGTTCGCCCCCTGGTTGTTCCACTTTACTCCGTATGTGAGATAAAATGGATCAGATACCAAATTTTAAAAAAATAGTAAAAAAAATAATATTTATATAATATTAATTAACTATGTGAATTTTTTTCTGTACATAGTTCGATAGATGCTTGTTTGATGTGTGTTATGTGTTGCAAGATTGTTCATTGGGTTTAGACAGTATAATTACTGAAAGTCAAATTGGACCTCTGTACCCCGCAGTACCCTTTGTTAATTTTATTTTATAATAAATTTTAATATGTGTCATTTTTATTTTTAATTGAAATGTATGTATAGGCTTTTCTTTTAAATTACAGAAACAGGTAACATGTTTACATATTAAAATAGTTTTTCTTCAGTACGCCTTTAATGACGACCTGTTAGTATGACGAGATTTCGGCGTCCTTTCGATGTCATACTAAGCGGATTCTACTGTATTACAATAAGATTTATTAATTTACCTGTATGTGTCGGAAACCATGACGCCGTTTTTGACAAAACTTTTTGCAGGATATCTGTTTTGAGATTCTGTTGGAATATTTGGAGCGTCTTCTTTAGGCAGTTCCATTTTTGGTTTACCTGTACCTTGCATTGTTGATTGAGGCTGTCTTGAGAAGTCTAGAGCGTTGTATTGCATATTCGATTTGTAATCTGAAAAAAAAAATGGAATTAAATACATCTATATATATATATATATTAGGGTGGTCCTTAAAATGGTCATTTTCGAATTTCCTTGCTCCCAGGGGCTCAAATGGTTCCAAATAGATAAAAAACAATTCTCTGAAAGTTTTAGCTCTTAATATTAACTTTTAGATAGAGCGCAATTCAATCAAAGTTTTGTATGGAGATAGCATGAAAAAATTTTCAAAAATTTTAAAAATGTTTTTTAGATGTAATTTAGTGAACAAATGAATGAATAAAACTCATTCATTTGTCGTTAAGTTAAACCTAAAACATTTTTTTTTAATTTTCAAAATTTTTTCCATGCTCTTTCCATACAAACTTTGATTGAATTGCGCTCTATCTAAACGTTAATATTAAGAGCTGAAACTTTCAGAGAATTGTTTTTTATCTATTTGGAACCATTTGAGCCCCTGGGAGCAAGGAAATTCAAAAATGACCATTTTAAGGACCACCCTAATATATATATATATATATATATATAAATCTCGTGTCACGATGTTGGTTCGCGATGGACGCCCAAACTACTGAACCGATTTTAAATTTTATTGGCTCATCGTGTGCATATATATCCAACTTAGGTTATAGGAAATTTTGAAAAGTAAATTTGAAACATAAATATATAATTTTTATAAATTTCTAAAAATTTTGACAGAAAATGATCAAAAAAAACAAAACACTAAAATGACAAATGTCAAAATTTAAGGAAATTTCGACATACAATTTTTGAAAAAAAAATTTGACATTTCAAAAAATAAAATTCAAAAACATGTTCATATATAGAAATATCCAACATTTAAATCTAAATTTGATGAAATGCTATATTCAAAATCACTGCTTATGGTTTTAAATCTAATTAAAAATCAATGCTTAAAAATTTAAATCAATGTTGACATGTAAAAAAATTAAATGTCATTTGTCAATATTTATGAAAATAATTATATAAATAGATTTACGATTTAGATTTAATTGATTAGCTTACCAAATTATCTTGGAAATCAAAACTTCATCAAAACATTATAGATCAGAGATCACAATAAAAAAGCGGCATATTGAATTTAAAATTAATCATAAACAAAATTTTGACATTTCACAAAAAAATATTTAACGACTTTCTTAAATAAGAAGCAAATAAATTAATTATTCCAAGTTATGTTATAGGCAATATTGCCAAACAAATTATAGATACAAAACGTTATTGTAAAATAAATATTATCATATTATATTAATTTTGGACCAAGAAGAAAATATTTTGACATTTATAAATTTAGTGCATATTGGATATATGAAATTGACATTCACTACTTTTCAATTAAATGCAAATGTAAAAAAATCAAATATTTATATAAAAAATTGTATATTTAGATAAAGATACTGCGTTGATTTAGACTAAAATTTAATTTATTCTTTAATTAAAAAAAAAATTGACATAAACAAAATTAAAATAAACAAAACACTATGATGCGTTGGAATTATTTATCGGAGTGTAAAGAAATTTGTGTAATTAAAATATAATATTATTATTAATATATCAGTTAAGATATATTTTGATTGTCATCGCAAATGCTAATCTTACAGGAAATTGTAACCTCTTAAATGGAATAGTACAATCTGAGGGTATCATTGGAATCTGACAAAAACAAACTAGACAAACTAAATATTATATCATATCAAATTAAATTTTGACCGAAAAGAAAATATTTTGACAGTTATAATTAATTTGAAATAAAATGCGAATTTCAAAAATCAGATCTTTATGCAAAAAAATATTTATTTCCACTTGTGTTGATTTAGCCAAACTTATGAATATAACAATTATATAATTCTTCATTGATGACTTAAAATAACTAATAATTTATTAACAAATACATAATATTTGAAAGAAAGTTTTATTGACATATATGACATGACAAAAGTATAATAAACAAAAAAACTATGATGCGAGTGAATTAATTTTTGAAGTATGAAATGTCCAATAATTTTGAAAATTATAACAAGTTTTTAACTATTTGTCAAAGAATCAGAGTCCAAATCTAATAAATATTTGATTTTTGGCACTTTTATTAATTTTATCAATTTAGGCATATTTTTTATGGCAAAACAACGTTTGCCGGGTTAGATAGTATATATATATATATATATATATATTGTATATGTATTATCTTCTTACCTTGTTCCATCTCTCCTCCACCACAAGACGTCCCCGGCTTGTGCAAATCCCTAATTTGGTTCCTATCGCCTTCATTCCCAGTTCGCCGACAATCCAAAGGATTCGTATAATTGTATTCGACAGAATTGTTTTGTGGACTAGTAATCAAGTCCACAGGATTCGAATAGGAGTCTTCAAGCATCCTTGATGTATTATCGGAGACTTGTTCCGGGTTGGTGAGGCTTGTCGGTGGTGTCATGTTTTGCTGCTTTTTGGCCAACGCTCGTTGCTTTGCACGTTCTTTGGCTCTTTTGGCTTTTGATCTTTCCTGGGAAGAAGAAAATTGATATTTAGTTAATTTTAAGAACAGATTTTTTGCGATCTGTGTGCACGAGTGTCGCATATAGACATCCAGTGTGTCGTTATTTAAGGGGCACAACTAGTGTAACCGCCTAAAAAAAAGGTGATTTTTGGGAATTTATATTACAAAAACTACTTTATCAATCATTTCAACATTTTAGGAATATATTTATACATGTTTTAAAAATACATAGTAAAATTGTTAAAGAAAAAAATTAAATATTTTTCAAGTTATCGTCGATCTCCAACGGCGCAACAAAAAAAAGGCCCTTAACTGATGCAGTGATTCCAGCCCTTGACGTGGATGAAATCAAAAAAAAAAAATCTCGTTAAACTAGATAATATTGTCTGTAAAGTGAACTACGATGAAAAAAAATAATCAAAAATTGACAAAATGACGGCGTTTTTAAAAAAAAGTCGAATTTTATCCAAAATTTTGGTAGTTTTTCGACTGCCAAAATTCGATTTTTGATCCGATCAAAAAATCGATAGTTCATTTTACGGAAAACTATATATAGAACATGTAAAAAAAAATCGATAGTGATCGGATCATTTGTTTTTGAGTAATCGCTGCAGCAAATTCGGAAAATGCTGTTTCGAGAAAAACGCGTTTAAAGATTAAATGATCGTTGTACCAAATACTATATGTATACTATTTAAATGGCTGTAACTCAAAAACTATTTGAAATATCGATTTGAAATTTCAATGTTATTTTTAAAGGTGTAATCTACCGAAATATGAAAAAAAACAAAAATCGATTTTTTCAAAATTTCACACTAGTTGTGCCCCTTAAGTCAAAATAAATACATAAATGAAAAAATAAATATTTTATCATCCTGACAAGTGAAATTATAAGTAAATTTTTAACTCTTGAATATATTTTTAACTTCCCGTAGGGCAAGTTATAGTAATCGCAAAAAATCGAAATTGCAAGTTTTTGCAGATCTTCACGTTTCAAAGGTTTCTGAACATTTTGGCATACCTTAGAAAAAATGGATATTTATTTTCTGAAAATGTTTACAATATATCCCCTCCAATAACCGTTTCAACTCGGTTCGATTAGGTTTTGTTTATATATGTTAACATTTCTTGTAAATATACATAAGTAGTTCATTGTTCATAAATTAATCAATGATTGATTTTTATGTTAATTGTTTATTTTCATTTTTCGAATATTTTATTAATTAAGGTACGGGAAGTTTCAGTTAGAGTTTTATTCACTAAAGAAGGAACAAACTGGTACTCAAAACGTATGAAAGTCTATTGAATTTTTTTTTGAAACAATTTTTTTATTAATTTTCTGGATGTTTATCAACACACGCCATTCATTCTAACTCGGCTCAATTAGGTTTTACTTATATATGTAAATTAATCAATGATTGATTTTTATTAATTGTTTCTTTTTATTAGTTGTTTTATTCACTGAAGAAGAGACAAACTGAGTCTCAAAACGTATGAAACCCTCTCCATTTTTTTTTTTTTGAAACATTATTAAGCATAAGTAAACATAGTTGTTTGTAATCGCTAGTTTTCTTTTCGAGTGTTTTATTCACTGACGAAGGGACAAACTGGGACTCGAAACGCATCGATGTGTATGGGAGTGTGTGTGTATAGATACAATTTTTCGTCCACGTTTTCGGACGCATCAACCGATTTGAATGATTCAAAAAGCAATCGATTCCTATTGATAGGGAGATGAGCTGATTAATTTTCGGCAAAGGCAGGTCCAGCCGTTACGGAGATACGGAGCAAAGAATGCAGAAAATAGAAATCGAGTTTTTGAAAGAACAGAGTATCCGATTTGAATGATCTAAAAAACATTTAATTAGTAATGATTGGGAGAAGTGTTTATTAGTTTTTGGCAAAGGCAGGCCCAGCCATTTCGAAGATACACAGCTAAATGTGCAAAAAATGGCAGTTTTTGAGAGAACCAAGAATCCGATTTAAATGATTCAAAGAACTTTCTGCTTGTATTGACAAACCAATTGCTTTTGAGGATAAAAAATTATTACAACTTTTTTTATTTTCCATAAAATATTTTTGTAATTTTGGATTGAAAATTGAAAAAATTACCCAGGCTGGGCACAGTCTAAGCGCCACTCTGTATAATTATACTGTTTAAAAGATTATACTGATTAAAAGACTGCAATTTCCGACAAGTATATCTTATGCTATAAATCACAAAGGCAGACCATAAATTTTTGTGTTATAAATTTGGAAAATCAATGTTTTAGTTGTAAATAAACAAAAAATCATTTATTATTATTATCTTACCCTTTCTTGAAGCAGCCGAGCCAATTCCTGGTCTTGGGCTTCGATGGCAATTAATCTGTCTCGATCTAATTGGACGTTACGGTCAGAACTTTCTTCTTCTTGTAATTGCCTTGCCAATTCCTGTAAAGCAATTTAAAAAAATTAAAGGTATCAAAATTACTTTGAAAAATCATAAGAAAGACATAAGAAAAAGTGAAATAGATAATTATAATTTTTTTATAATTTAATTTAGACTCACCTCTGCTCTAAGAGAGTTTTGTAGAAGTCCATGAACGAGTGTCACTCTAGTCATGATTTCCAAAATACAGGGACTACGAGCACACTCGCTCGAAGACAACACAATTTCCACATTTTGAGATATAAAACACAAATCAATATTGATATTAGTATTAGCATCAGCATATTAAACTAGTTGATATTGGTATTTAGCCTTGAGGCAAGTTACATGAACTTCCCGATATGTGTAAATAATCGACTTAATCAATAAAAACTAAATTAATTTATGATTGGATTTATTACGCAAACGCAAAGTATTTTCTACGAACACGTAAACTCGAAGTATTTTCTAAAAGTAAATTTTCAAAAATCAACAATTTATATAATTGAATCAGTTTCCGCAAGACTTTAATGGTTTAGTATGTTCATTAAGACCAAGAACTACTATCGTTTTACCAAGTAAATCCTCTAATTTTAATTTTAACAAATGTCAAAAAAACTACTCATTTTCTCAAACTTTGATAAATTTTTAAAATTAAACGACTTGTCGTAAGACCCTAATATTTCAGTAAGCTCTATAAGACCATGATATATCTCGCTAAAAAAAATCCATAAAAATCGGCTTAAATTTTTTTTTCAACGTGACAAAAATAGAAATGTTGTAAACATGTCGTTAATAACAAACTCTGAAAATAGTGGTATCAATATCTATACCAAGCTACCTCTGTTATCACACAGTTTTGAGTCTTCAAAATCGAACTATATTCGACAATCAAAATCACCTGGTTAAATTAAATTCTTAATACAAAAATATCTTTCAACATATTAATTTTTTGATCTATCTAACTAAATTGAAAATAATATGTGCGCATTATTCATTAATATTATAATTGCATACAGGATGCTCTCAAATTCATAAATAGTGTTAGGGGTATGCACCCATTTATAATAATTATAAATATAACGGTCAGAATACACACTACGCAGTATTCTTCGTGAATCATACATACTTTACAATGTATGCGCAATGGTTCAGAATTGTTTAAGTGAATTCTTCAATTTAAATTAACCAATTTACCTATATATTTTAATATTTTGACTACATGACTCTTCGGTCGAAAGATTAGCGCATAAATTACTAATATTTTCAATACAATTTAAGCTATACATAACGCATTAACATTTTAAAACACATAGATTGTTTTTGAACCTACTACACATTTGGAAGAAAATTTATACCAAATGCAAATTTGTGAACGATCTTATTCAAACATTTATAACGATAAATGGAATGAACACCATATTTTTTTTGCTTCACAAATATCTTTTATCTAAATAGAATTTTAAAAATTAATTATTAAAAAAAAATTCTACGAAATATTCCTGAACCGATGTGATAATTACAAGAAAACAGCTCGGTAGATTTTCACCTAAAACTAATCAGTATCATTCCCAACTAATATCTTTCGAACAGTTTTTGTAGAATGAGCTTAAATGTGGACGAAAAGTTTAACACTTTTTTTTAAATTATAAAGAAGCGGCTTGGCAGATCGTCGCACAAAACTGACAAACGATAGTCCTCATTGAGATACATCAAATGGCTTTTAAATTTGTAAAATCGGTTCAGGCGATTTTGAGCATACGTCGATGAAAGGTCTAATTTTGGCAAATGCCAAAAAAAAACGATACCAATTTTTGCAAACTTTGACTAATTTTTAAAGCTAAACGAGTTGTCGTAGGGCCGTAATATTTTAGTATGATCTAGAAGACTATGGTATCTACCGTCATAAAAATAATAATAAAAACCGTCGAATTTTTTTTAACACTTTATTACAAGAAAACCGTCCGGCCGATCTTTACTAAAAACTAATCAGCACGATTCCCAACCAATATCTTTCGAACGGTTTTATAATCGATTCAGAATTGCGGGCTAAAACGTGGACGAAAATTTTTTCACTTTTCTGCGATTTACAAAGAAACGGCTCGGCCGATCGTGGCACAAAATTGACAAACGCTAGTCCTCATCGAGATACATTGAATGGCTTTTAAATTTTTGAAATCTATCGAACCGTTTTTGAGGAAACGTCGATTTAGGGCAAAAAATCTGTTCACATACACACACACATACTTTTTCCTTAAATTCGGTCTCATTCGATTCAGAATGGCTTGAAACGTCGAGAAAACATAAAATTAGCGAATCGGATTTTTTGATGAAAACATAAACTTCTCCTTGGGAAGTTAACCCTTTCGACTCGGATGCAGCCACTGGCGGCAAATCGTGTCGTCGAAAACTAAACTTACATTTTTTTATATTAATTTACTATTACATGTATTTATTGATCAATTTATCAATTTTATAAATAAATATATAACAAAATTAATTTATTAGCTCATGATCCCCATAATTATTTGAGATACAAATTTTACTAGTGATGTTATTTTATATATATATATATATATATATATATATATATTAAATTCAATGATAATCGTAATAATTTTGGCAATATGTTAAATTTAATTTTTGTTTCCTTGTCTATCAGCATTTATTATTTTGTAAGCCATTATTATATATATATTCTAATATACGCAGTGTGTTTTTTATTATTATTTTTCAGAATGTAACTTTCATATATTTTTGTAATTAATTCTAATAAAGCTATGCGAAGAAATGTTTTTTTAAACAATATATCATGGTTTTGAGCGCATTTTTTTTTTAATTCTCAAAATTTTCTATTTTATTATCATAATAACTATACTTGAAAGCAATATTACCACATTTTGAAAAAATCTGATACAAAAAAAAAATTCCGTGTTGAGAGATATGTATAGCACTATAATATTCCGAGCGCAGCGTACCGACTAGCAGTCCGACTCCCGAGTGGAAAGTGTTAAAAAACATTGACTCGATTAACATTTCTTTAATAAACTAAAATTTCCATATTAAAAATTTAACATACAATTTACAAAAATATACAAATTTAAAATATTTACATAAAAAAGCTCAACAGTCCGTACAAAATAGCATTAAAAATCTTTCGACTTACGGCATCCTTACGTTCTTGCAACAACCGTTCATCCAAATCATCACCACCTCGATGTCTCGAACTTTCGGGATGATTCGATGAAATATTAACCCTTTCAAATCGTTTAGCCAGATCAGAACCAGGAGGCAGCCCCAGATCATTATGCCTAGTCTGGTGGTACATCAATTTGGCTTCATCGGAATGAACATCAGTCGGCAGTGGCGGCGGTGGTCCTCTATAACTGGGGGCTTGGTGATGGAACTGATTCAAATTCACCCCGTGGTCGATCATTGTGTTATTTTGGCTAGTCGATGGCATCATATCAAAATTGTGATTTGCACCATCGTGTTGGTATTTCATTTGTGATCGGTTACCCATCATTGGCAAAGGACTGTTTCTGATGTAGTCTTGTGTTAGATGAGCCATGGGGCTGTGGCCGTCGCCCATGGGGCTGTTGGGGTCGTGTAAAACTGGAGGAGATGCAGGGCTCATGCTGCCACTTATATAACCACCTGCTCCTGTTGGACTGGAATGGATACCTGGAGGAAAAGAACTACATGGAGCAGGAGTACTTTGAAAAGATATGTAATAGTAAGATTAGTGATTTAGATCTATTTTTTCCTATGTATACTGCTTTTACTTTTAAACTGAATTATATCTGTAAATGTATTAATGATACTCCACGGGCACGCTTAGGACATACACGGTGTATGTCCTAAAACTTCAAAGCAATTTTTGTAGGCCTATAATATTTCAAGCAAATTAAAATATCTGTAATTGTTTTAATCATAATTTTTATTCATTTTGAAAATACATGGAAAATATCAGTTGGAAATCGTGCTGATTAATTTTTGTCAAACATCGGAAATTTTATAAGCTTACGGAAATTATAAAAATTCATTCAAGTTTAGAATGATTGACCACATTTACATATCATGTGTTATTGTTTATAACAGTTAATAATTTTATAAAACTGCAAAATTGATCAGTAATTTCATAAAACTGAAAAAACTTTCAATAATTTTATAAATTTGTAGAATACTGCAGAAACGTTCAATATTTTTAAACATTTGCAAAAATGCTTTATAATTTTATAAAATTATAGAAACGTTCAATAAATTTATTAAATTGCAGCAAATTTCCTAATTTTATATAAATGCAGAAATGTTCAATGATTTTATGAATTTGCAGAAACGTCCAATATTTTTATTCATTTACAGAAACGTCCAATATTTTTATAAAACTGCCGGAACTTTTACTAATTTTACAAAAGTTCAGAAACAATTTTAATAATTTCATAAAATTAGTTCAATAATTTTATAAAATTGCAAAAATGTTCTATAATTTTATGAAACTGCAGAAGGGTATAATACTTTTATTCATTTGCAGAAACGTCCAACATTTTTATTCATTTACAGAAAAGTCCAATAATTTTATAAAACTGCAGAAACGTCCAATACTTTTATTCATTTACAGAAACGTCCAATATTTTTATAAAACTGCAGGAACTTTTAATATTTTTATAAAACTTCAGAAACGTTCAATAATTTTATAAAACTGCAGAAGGGTATAATACTTTTATTGATTTGCTGAAACGTCCCATAATTTTTATAAAACTGCAGTAATGTTCAATAATTTTATAAAACTGCAGAAACGTCCAATAATTTTATACATTTGCAGAAACGTTCAATATTTTTAAAAATTTGCAGAAACGTTAAATATTTTTAAAAATTTGCAGAAAAGTTCAATAATTTTATAAAATAGCAGAAACGTTCAATATTTCCATACATTTGCAGAAAAGTTCAATAGTTCATACATTTGCAAAAATGTTGAATAATTATACAAATTTGCAGAAACGTTCACTAATTTCATATATTTAATTTCTACATTTAATTTTTATATGTTCAATAATATTAAAAAACTGCAGAAATGATCATTATTTTTAAAAATTTGTAGAAACGTTCAATAATATTTAAATTTGCAAAGACGTTAATTAATTCTATAAAATTGCAGAACCGTTCAATAATTTAAAAAAACTGCAGAAACGTTCAATAATTTTATAAAACTGCAGCAACGTTCAATATATTTATAAAACTACATGAACGACCAATAATTTTACAAAACTGCAAACGTCAATAAACCAAAAATCGTCTAAACACATTTTTCTCAATTTGGGTGTCAAACGATTCAGAATGACTTGAAACGTTTAAAAAACACAAAATTAGCAAACCGCATTTTCTGACAAAAATAAACTTTGCCCTTCCCTTTTGGTCAATTATAGGGTTTATACAAAAACCGACATTTCAGAAAACCGGTTTTCGAATTTTCATTTTATTAAAAAACCGGTTTCAACCGGTTTTCGAATTTCATATAGAAAATAAAATTTTGCTCGAACATTCTATAATTTATCCGCAAATTTAGTGTGATTTAGAGCAGTATTTGACTGAATTTATTTATTGTTCAATTTTATAGATAGTAAACAAAATTATTTTAATTTTAATTAGTAGAACTACAAAATAATAGTTTATCTTGATTAAATAACTTTGAAAATAATTATTCGTTATTCATGCATCATTTTCACATACAAGAATGAAAATATTTTTATGATATCGAATAAATAAAAATAATACATTTTTAAATAAAAAAAAATTCATTAAATAAAAAAAAATTAAAAAATATTAGGTACATGTTGATACATGTTAATATCAATTTTAGTTTTAAAAACAATTAAGCTAAACTTTTATTTCTGTTCCGAGTAATTTTAATTAATTAATTTTAAACATTCTAATTATTTTTTGTTTAATAAAATATGATTTAAAAAAACTGAGAATGTATATTGAATTGCTACTTAGACGTGTCCTGTATCACAAAATTTCCTGAAATAGAAAATACTCTCATACTTGCGACCAAATTATGCTTATTTTTTTGAAGCCTGATACAATAATTCTAAGTTTTTTGTTCTTTAATTTGTGGCTTCTATGGTTTAAAACTCTTTTTTTTAATTTGAGTAGAGGAAGTTACTTCTTCAAGAAGAAGTCACACTGATTTAAATCAATATATACACTGGTATAAAAATCTAAATTATTATGAAAAAACCTTTCTGGGAACCATTGCAGACTTATATGATATAAAATGCTATTGAACCGATATGATTTCAAGAATCAAAACGCTTTCATCTATCTTTTATATTTGGTTATATTTGTCATTTTCCATTTATACAGTGAAAACCGACTTTTTCACTAAAAAACCGGTTTTCGGATTCCATAATTTTCGCCAAAAAAACGGTTTTTGAAAACCGACAAACCCTAGTCAATTACCTGAGTCGTTGTAGTAGTCGACCGCATCAGGTGGTATGGCAACCCCATGTGTTACCAAATGACGACTATGGTCCAGAAACGAAGAAGGAGAATTTTGTTGACTACCACTACCACTTGGTGCAGGTGCTGGTAACCTTTGGCCACTATGTTTTCTCGAATCAGTCGACGGAGGTTTTATTGAAGTCTTGTTGATTTGCGAAGACGCTTCTCTCTCCTGCTGAGGAAGCAGAAAAGTAACTTTATTACTATCACCATAATATTATGACTGTAGTGGATATAATATTTTTTTGTTATTAATTTTCACCTGCAGCCTTCGTGCAATTTCCTTGTCCATTTCTTCAGCACGTCTCTGCTGCTCCCTTTCATCCCTTTCTAATTTTTCTGCCAATTCGCGCGCCAATCTGGCATCAGCCTGCTCCCTAAAAAATTGAAAAAATAAGAAATTAGATAAAAAATTAGACTACCACTGCATTGGTTCAAAATTAATACAAATTATACAAGTACAGTATTTGCAACATAATACATTAGGAGACGATTCAACACAAACAAAAATATTATGAAAGGAAAATGCAGAAACATCCTAGCCACCTGCCCTGGAAAATTCTAATTATGAAATCTAAATTATAATGCCAGACTTCTAGTAACACTTACTTATTGAACGTTTCTGCATTTTTATAAAATTACTAGCAAACCCGACGAACTCCGTTTCGCCACCAGATGGTTTCGTGAGAAAGATGAAGAAATTTTTTGTTTGTTTTATATTTGAAAAGAAAAAATTTGATTTTATTGCACAACAGTAATGAATTTATTTCGATTACAAAAATGAAGTGTTTTTTAGTTGAACTTCTCTAAGTAAATGAAAGTGAATCCGCAAATTATCCGTTTCATTGAAGTGCTCTTTGGTAAACCACATTTTTTGTTTTTTGGTCTGAGGTTAACACAAACAAAGCTGATGGATTTCCAACTCGTGAACAGGCAACGTATAACTGCCCATGTGAAAAACAATGATTTTCTAAATTATCTGTTTGAAATTTATCCCGCAAACACGAAGCGATTAGCGAACTGGAAATTGCAATCGTTTAAAGTCAAACGGAAGACCAGTCGGAATCATTGGCATGTCACCAAATCTCCAGCAATTTTTGATTGAATGGTGAAATTCAGTGCGTGTACATCATTATTCTTTGCGGCAAGAATTGCTCGTTGACTTAATTGCAAGCATAATTCTGATAATTTTAACTAATGTCATTACTCGAATTTTTAATTACGGTGCGTGAAGTTCCAGCAATTTGCATTAAGGCGGTCTTTTCAACGAATGCAAAATTTCCAAAATCGGTTTGTGCGTTCTGGAGTTATTTCGTCAGAAAGAAAAACCCGACTTATTTTTATATATATGTAGATTAAATATGGTTACAATTTAATGAAATTATTGAACGTTTCTGCAGTTTTATAAAATTATTGAACATTTCTGCAGTTTTATAAAAATTATTGAACATTGCTGCAGTTTTATAAACTTATTAAACGTTTTTGCGGTTTTATAAAAGTATCGACTATGACTATAATTTTATAAAATTATTGAATGTTTCTGCATTTTTTTAAAAAAGATGAATATGGCTGTAATTTTATAAAAATATTGAATATGGCTGTAATTTTATAAAAATATTGAATATGACTACAATTTTATAAAATTATTGAACGTTTCTGCAAATATATCAAATTATTTGACGTTTCTGCAGTGATATAAAATTATTGAAAATTACTGCAGTTTTATAAAATTTTTGAACTTTACTGCAATTGTATAATATTATTAAATATTTCTGCAGCTTTATGAAATTATTGAAGGTACAGACATTTTCAATAATTTTATACAGTTGAAGGAACAGAAACGTTCGATAATTTTACAAAATTTAAAAATATACGAAACATAAAAATATTGAATGTCGTTGAAATTAAAAAAAAAATTTATGATGCTGTAATTATATAAAAATATTGAATACGGCTACAATTGTATAAAATTATTGAACGTTTCTGCATTTTTATAAAATTATTGAACGGCTACAATTTTATGAATTTATTGAAAGTTTCTGCATTTTCATGATATTATTGAATGTTGCCTGCATTTTCATGAAATTATTGAACGTTTCTGCAGTTTTGAAAAATATTAAACATAGCAACAATTTTATAAAATTACTGAACGTAGCTGCAGTTTTATAAAATTATTAAACGTAGCTGCAGTTTTATAAAATTATTAAACGTAGCTACAGTTTTATAAAATTATTGAAGGTTTCTGCAGTTTTATAAAATTATTAAAAATTACTGCAGTTTTATAAAAATATTGAACGTTTCCGCAGTTTTATAAAAATATTGAACGTTTCTACAGTTTTATAAAAATATTGAACGTGTCTGCAGATTTATAAAAAATATTGAACTTTTCTGCAATTTTATAAAAATATTTCTGCAATTTTGCAATATTACTAATTATTATAATTGTAAATATATTTTACATGGTTACTAATTTTTAGCATAAATTTTAGTTCTAGTTTTATCTGAAATTTGATTATATATATATACATATATATACAGAAAATAATATTGCAAAAATCACCTTCTTATAAACAAACATCTGAAATCCTTTAACATTTATTTGCCTTCACAAACACAATTTTAAAACACTTTTTTAAATAAATAGTTTATAAAGCAAATGCTTATTGTATTTATAAATTAATTGCCCTTAATAGAAACCAAATAAGCACAATTTGTTTAAACACTTTTGTAAAAAAAGAAATAAAGTAATAATAAAAGCACTTGATTGAATCACAAACGGAATACTAAACTAATAATTGATTTATCAAATTGTAACAACACTTGTGTTATGTACAAATAGTCACTATAAATTTGTAAAATATATGAAACTGTTATATTTAATTAATAACTAACAAAACGTAGAACTTATTTATCTGATAACAAAATAAAGCACTAAAAGTATTTAGTTATTTATTTAATTTATTACGAAAAATATTTCAAGTGGTTTGTGTGCACAGTCGGTGCGTCAAGTGTTTCTTCGAATTTTTTCTAAAGAAACGAATTAAATTCGAAAGGAGGGGACCTCAGGTCAAAAACAGGTTCTTGCATGTCCTTTATATATATATACACACATATTATATACACATAAATCAACATACACCTGTAATGATAGACACCTGTACCCCGAGACCGATGATGGTGCAAATCGAATTACACTTTTCGTACTAATAATAATGTTATTTAAAACTAGATCTAAGGTATTTTAACCCTGAATAATAATACTTGAACTAAGAGAAAAATACTACATGATATGTTTCATTAAATGATGTAATAGTGAAAAAAAGTGGGCTAGCAAATCCTAATCTTGGGTTCGAGTCAACCTCAGCCATCTCGGTATCAAGAAGTATCATACCAGACTTTTACCAGATGGTAGATCTTAAGTAAAAACTTAAAGGGATTATTTTTTGGTCAATTTATTAAGCAACAATACAAGGACTACATAATTGAGGAAATATAACTAATACAAGATAAAACAAAACTAGTTGAAAGTGGTATTTAGCCTTTAAGCATGAACTTTTCGAATGTGTAAGAACTGACTTTTAATTTTCTCAAACTTTGATGAATTTTTAAAATTAAACGACTTGTCGCAAGGCCGTAATATTTCAGTAAGTTCTATAAGACCATGATATACATCGCTAAAAAGTTCCATAAACATCGTCTTAACTTTTTTTTTTCATCAGTTAATTACAAGAAAACGGCTCGGTAGATTTTCACCTAAAACTAATCAGTATCATTCCCAACTAATATCTTTCGAACAGTTTTTGATTTTTTTAAATAGATTCGGTAGTTTGAGCTTAAATGTGGACGAAAAGTTTAACACTTTTTTCCAAATTACAAAGAAACGGGTCGGCAGATCGTCGAACAAAACTGACAAGCGATAAGACTCATCAAGATACATCAAATGGCTTTTAAATTTCTGAAATCGGTTCAGGCGTTTTTGAGAAAATGTCGATGAAAGGTCTAATTTTGACAAATGCCAAAAAAACGATACCAATTTTTGCAAACTTTGACGAATTTTTAAAGTTAAACGAGTTGTCGTAGGGCCGTAATATTTTAGTGTGATCTAGAACAGGGCTTCTTAAACTTTTTTATATAGCGACCCCCTTCAAGCTTAGGAAATTTTATACGACCCCCTATTTTACTATGTAAATAAAATAAGGATTGAAGAATATGTACCCATTCATGTTATATATAATTGGAATCGTTGACATAAAACTATATATATATATATATATATATATATATATATACAGGGCCGGTCCTGGGGTCCTTAGCGCCCGCATGCAACTTTTTTTCTAGCGCCCCCCCTCCCTATTAATATTAACTGTTTTAAGAGTTTATCATTTAAATTATATAAATATCTACATATTTTTTAAAAATTAATTTTTAATTATTCTGGTTTTAGTACACAAAACATTAGATATAATCTAAAAGTGTATAAAATATATTGATTTTAAATTTATTTAGAAAATCGTGGCGTTTCGCGGGTTGATTATAATCAAATATTTTTAAAATTTCAATTATTTTTAACAATATTAATATTTGGGTTTTTTATTATGCAATTTATTCTATTTAGCAAATCATGCCACGTTGGATTTTTGAAATTTTAATTTAATTTAATTTTTCATCATTTACAATATCCAAAATTGCGTCGTAAACTTTTCTTTATTGATATCGTAAGAGCCGAATTGTATTTATCCTTGTTTTTCGTCATATTCAGAGTATCAGTTTGTTGTTTTAAAGTTAAATTTTTAACTTATTTTAAAAGTATTGTCCAAAAATCAGTAAAAAAAATAAAATTAAGAAACTACACATTTCTTGAAATATATTAAAAAAAACTTATTATATTTCTGCATAGTTAATAATGATTAAATTTAGAGTATGGACACCGCTAAGTATAAGGCCTTAAGATTTTCGTTACAAAGTAAATTTTGCTTTCATTTTTTATATTTGTTCCATTTCCATAACCCTAACCAAGCTTGTTTTCAACATTCAAAATTCATCAGAAGCGAAACATTTGCAACAAAAACAAAAGTTACAATTTAATTTCTCGGAATAAACATGCCATTTTTCAAGCACTCACTCCCCATTTTTATTTTCCCCATTATAAGTTGTTTATATTTTTTAACAAATTCCGTTTCAACTAAATCAGCTCGCAATTTTTCGTCAATAATGCCCAATAATTAATTTTATTTTTCGTAGGTTTGAGCTTATGGGATTGAACACTAGACAATTTCTTTTTCGATTCCACAGTAACTTTATACAAAGAAAAATTGAATAAGTGAATTAAGCAATGAACAGAGCTGTTATTTACTAATTTGCAGAATTACTAATCGGTTAATTGTTTCTACTGATATCACATTGCAAAATAAATGCTTTTTGTATCTCCGTATCCCTAATTAAGTTAGATTGTTTATTATCATTTATTAAGTATTCTAGATTTTATATAAATAATTCTAGATTTCATATAAAAAATATAAATATTATATTATAATTTAATTTCCGAAACTCGTTTTGGCGCCCCCTAAGGCGTGCGCCCGCATTTTTTGCATGCATCGCATGCAAGGCAGGACCGGCCCTGTATATATATATATATATATATTTATTCAATAAAAAAATAAACTCTTGTAACAAATTTTTTATAAGAAAACATAAAACTATATCAACATATTCAATAGAAAAAATAAAATTTTGTAACATTTTTTTAATGAAAACCTATTATAAACATCAAACAATATTAATGTGATGAATGTGATTGTTTATTTTTACACAAATAATTAAATCTAGGCTCAATTTAAGTTAGTGCAGATCGTAATAAATTTTCAACGTATATTAAAGTTGAACGGTATTTTGATTTTATGTAAGTTAATGTAGAAGAGGCTGATTCACATAAATATGTTGCACAAAATGGCAGTAATTTGTTTATTGCCATTTCCGATAGTAGGGAATATTCTGATTTGATTTCGAACCAAAATTCATACACCGACAGTTGAAAAAATCTGAGTCGCAAGGAAGTATCACTTGTTAATTCGGTAAATTCTTTTTGTGCTTTTAAGTTTGAGAAATTAATTTTTTCCATTTTAATTGAAAATGGATTGCAAATCCATTGTTGTGTATCGATATCATTGAGAAAATACCTATGCTTCCATATTCTTCAAATGGTTAACTATAATTTTTGTTATAGGAGTATCTTTTTTTGAAATATTGTTACTAATTATATACTCGTCAATTAATGGAAACATTTCGAGCGATCCACTTTCTACACTGTTTTTCCATATAAGAAATATTTTAACAAAGTTCTCAAGTTTATTTTTTAACATAAACATATTAACGCAGACTCCCTGCATTGATAAATTCATATCATTGATTTTATCAAAAATATTGGCCAAATAGCATAGCTTGAGAAGCCATAAATTATCGTGGAAATAGTCGGCCTAATAATACTAATTTTAAAATTTTGTTTATAATGATTGAAAAGTATCAGATCTTTGCGACCCCTTATTAGTAGTCCCGCGACCCCCCTGGGGGTCGCGACCCCCACTTTAAGAAGGCCTGATCTAGAAGACTATGGTATCTATCGTTAAAAAAATAATCATAAAAATCGTCGAAATTTTTTTTAACACTGTATTACAAGAAAACGGCCGGGCCGATCTTTACCAAAAACTAATCAGCACGGTTCCCAACCAATATATTTCAAATGGTTTTTGAATTTTCATAATCGATTCAGAATTGCCGGCTAAAACATGGACGAAATTTTTTTCACTTTTCTGCGTTTTACAAAGAAACGGCTCGGCCGATCGTCGCACAAAACTCAAAAACGCTAGTCCTTATGGCGATACATCGAATGGCTTTTAAATTTTTGAAATCGGTCCAGCCGTTTTTGAGAAAACGTCGATTTACGGCAAAAAATCTGTTCACATACACACACACACACATACTTTTTCCTTAAATTTGGTCTCATTCGATTCAGAATGGCTTGAAACGTCGAGAAAACATAAAATTAGCGAATCGGATTTTTTGATGAAAACATAAGCTTCTCCTTCGGGAAGTTTAAAAATAAAGAAAGTATTATTCTTTCTACAAAAAAAGTGAGCTTTTTTCATACTGGAAAGATGAATTACTTTCTCAACGACCTTATATTTATATACATGTGGGCGTATGTGTAGGTATAGATGTGTGTATAATTACGATTAATGTCTTCTAAAACACAATTGCGTGTTTTAACAAATCGTGGGAAAGCGTCCGAGGAAAAATCGCGTTCCGCTAGGTGCACCTCGGGACGAGATCGTCATCGGCCCATCATTACATCAGTACACACGAATTAATTTACAAACTGGAAAAGACCCTTACTAAAAAAAAGAGATTGACTAGGGTTCTATCCAATTAGAGGTACTGAATCAATATTACAACTGACGAAATGTATCATATTTTTAACATTTTCCTAGAAGACTTCTACTTGTTCAAAACTCGTGTCCCCTAAGTGACCTTAAAATCGACCCACTCTATAATATATATACATACATATATATATATATATATATATATATATATATATATATATATCTTCTTATATATAAAAATGGAGCTCTCGATCAAATGATTCGCTAAAATTCGAAAACGGCTAAACCGATTTGGCCAGTCTTAGTCTTGAAAAATTCGTGCTAATCAGTAGGTTGTCGGAAAGGTGAGATATTATTTCAAAATCGCGTAGAAACTTTACATTTTTAATTTGAAAATTGTTGTAGAAGCGTAATTTGAATAAAACAATGGACGGCGGCTCATACGTCAAATGTCAAAAGTTTTTGATAGATGATGTTCAATTACATTTAATAGGATGTTTTACGTGAATATTATGTAATTATGATTAAATTGTAGTAAGTAGTTTTGTTTGTTGTTTTATTTATACATAAAAACGTTATTAAACGGATCGCAAGTGTTACTATAAACTCAAAATATCAACTTTTGTGAAATGTTATATGAAAATGCACTTTTTGGCATATTTTTCTCAAGCACGGTGCTCTGAAAGATCTCATTTGTATAATTATATACTCATTGGTATTTATGAAACATTTTCTAGGTTATATTATTTTTTATTTATGTTATTTAAATTCAGAACCTAAATTTGGTATCGATCAAAGGAACATTTTGTCAAATAACATTTTCCCAGTTATAATTTCCCAGAATTTAGCGAAGAATAAAAAGTAATATATGAAGGTCCGGGGTTAAAAAGGTCCACCACCGATGTTTCAAAAATCAGTAAAGTTAAGCATTGTCTAACAACAATATTTGAAAGTAGAGAAAAAAAGATGTATAACCAGCTATAACCTTGATTCTCATGACTTTGCTATTCGGAGATAAACGGTAATCTTTGAAAATCCATAATACAAGTATTTTCTTCCATTTTTCTTTCAGTTTTTTAGCATTAGTTAAAAATGTAATTTATTTTGTAAAATACCTTTAAAATTGTAATAAGGCTTTAACCTTTTTGCCACCTGCCCGTTACAAGTTACCCCGCATATAGGATAAAAAGGTCTAGATAACAAATTTTTGAAAGACATCAAAAAAACACATTTCTACAATGATGAAGTAGCTGACAGTTTTACTGAACGTAGTCAGATAATTGTTCGTTTGATATGTGTTATTTGTTGTGATATAATTGGTTTGGTTTTCACAATATAGTTTATATTTGCTCAAAGTCAAATTGGATCTTTGTGCTTCGCTTTGTACTCTACATATGTACTTATTATTAAATTTAATTTATCGAATGTTACTTGAAACTTTTCAAAAAGCAGGTCAAAGAAGAAATACTTAATTCATTTTCTATCTCTCCTCGCAGAAATTTGAAAATTTTGTATAAGCTCAGTAGTATTATTTACAATTATACACAAAATCCATGTATATAAGTCGATGTATACCATGTTTTCTATAGAAAGTGTATAAAACTTGCAGTTTGATTGTATTGACAAAAATATAGACAAACTAATGGGGTTTATTGTTTTTATAATACCTCACTGTATATAGCATTCGAACAGCACATCCTTATACACTAAAAGTATTAATATTTTTGATTCTCTAGAAATTGTTTAGAATATACCTTACTTAGCAAAACAACGTTTGCTGGGTCAGCTAGTATATATATACATATATATATATATATATGTGTGTGTGTATATATATAAAATGATATTTCTACTGACTGTTCGTTTATCATCTCGTGGTAGAGCCTGGCCCTGTGCTCGGCCTCGGCCTTTTCGCGCATTTGAACTTCGCGCGCTTTTGGCAAATCCTCGCGAACCAGCGCATTGCGGTGCTTGTTTCCGGAATAGTGTTCAGAAACTGAAACAAAAATCGACTAATTAATACATCTATGTTATTAAAACATTCGCAGATAGATATAACAAAGGATATGATGAACAAAGTCCATTGTCACACTCTAGTTGTTGAAGGAAACTATTTGGAACAATGAAAGTGGAATTGTTTAGAACAAAACATTCGGGGAATCAAAACATTCGGGGAATGATTCTGGAACGTTTTTTAGTTTAAATTTTTGTTACAACTGCTAGTACAACATCAAGTAATTTTGATTGAAATACAGATAAACTATACGTAAGTGGCATTTTGCCTTAACTTGTAAATCGAATGTAAAATGTTATAAACAGGAAATTGAAATTTCGAGGAGCTCCTCACGACAAACAGTTTGCACAAAACGTGTACAATATGAGTATGTTATCCACTGTCAACTTCACTATGATGTCAAATACTAAAATAGACAACTTTTCTCATCAAATTTTCAAGATAATGCGACAATTTTTGAACGAAGAACCGGGATAAAACAATGCTGTACATACAAAAATAAAATTTCAAGGAGCTCCTCAGGACAAACTGTTTGCACAAAACGTGTACAATTTGAGTATGTTAAACAATGTCAACTTCACTATGATGTCAAATACTAAAATAAACAACTTTTCTCACAAAATTTTAAGATAATTAGACAATCTTTAAACGAAGTACCGGGATAAAACAATACTGTGCATACAAAATTAAAACTGAAAATGAAGTTTTGACTTCAACCAAAAACTAATTTATGAAATTTCCAATAGATATCTCTCAAACACTATTATAATATCTGTAATTGACTTAATTAAAGTAAACAAAAACTTTTAACGTCCTAAAAGCACAGCCCATTATTGCAAATTTAAACGAGTTTATATAATTACTAGCACTCGCTCTAAATCTTACTTTAGTAAGATTTTAACAATATTTGAGCAAAATTTTATTACTAGTATAGTAATATTTTAGTTGCAATAAAGTTGGAATTAAATTAAAAACAAGTTATAACAAAGTTGGATCAAAGTAAGAATCTAGTAAAATCTAAGTAGAATCTACCAATTAAAAGCTACCAAGATTATAGTAAGTTTTCGACAAGAACTTGATAAGATTCTGGTAAAAATCTAGCAGGGACAAACTTATTACAACCTAATAGGAAACTTGTACAAACTTTGAGATTTTTGGCAAGAATTCAACCAGAATCTAATAAAATTCTAGTTAGAATGCAAGTGAAATCTGATAAGATGCCGACAAGATTTTAGACAGATTCTTGTAAGAATCCATTGAGAATCTAGTAGAAATCTTATAAGAGCCCGGTGAGAAAAACTTTATACGAATTTAGTAGAAATCTTGTAAGGGTCTTATAAAAATCTCGTATAAACCTAATGACTATCCGATAAAAATCTTATGACTTTGTAAATTTTGATTTTGTAAAATATATACCGATTGCTAAATTCTAAATAATTACAATTCACAATTCCGGAAATGTTCGTTCTAATTACGTTTTGATGGACAACCCAATCGAAATCCCAATCGTATGAAATTCTAGAAAATAATTTATTTAACATACGATAGTCATATCTAATTCTTATTGTATTGGCAAGTAATATAAATATGAATAAAAATTAATTCTGATTATAAAGCTAAACTAATATTTATTCTTTCGACGCAATGTGTGTTTGTAAAATTATAACGAAAACTGAGTCACCGATAACCGTTAAAAAATAAAGGAGAGACTGAAGCGTCCGGATTAGTATTTATTACTGGTTGTAAATGAATCATTTGAAATATATATATACATATATATTATATATATATATATATATATATATATATATATATTATATATAAATTTAAAAAAAAATAATTAAAATATGGACTTACTTTCTTTGGATTGTAGTTGGTACGCCAGCGCACCATCTTCTCTCACCAACCATCTTTAAAAACTGAAATATAAAATAGAAAAAAATAATATTTAACAATTCGTGATAAAAACATCCATTCAATTATTAAATTTAAGTTGATAATTAACGTAGAAAACATTTCGAGTTGTTATTCTACTCATATTCAGTAATAATAATCGCTTAATATAATTCGCAATGTCAAAACAAAAAATATAGCAAGGAAATTCAATAAGTTCTTATCGAAACTAAAAGATAATAGTGAATGTTTTTCAAATTAAATATAAAATACTATCAAGAATAAAATTTATTTTGCTGATTTGTATATATATATATATATATATATATATATATATATATATATATAAATGACCTTGTTCTCACATTAATGAGAGAAAGTATAGTGACCGACTTATTGCCATTCATTTGTACTATATCGCACATTATATTTTATTATATATATATATATATATATATATATATATATATATATAATAAAAATAAAAATATTAATCATCTTTTTTAAATGAAATAACCAAGTTAGATTTTTTTAAACAAATTTAGCAAATGATTTGACTGACTCTTCTTCAACTCGATTCCTAAGAAACAAAATACAGAAGAATAATTATAAAACAAATAACATAAAAAACATATACAATAATTATAGTTAATTAATAATAATTAAATAATAACACGGGTCAACTGTCACAAACTTTGTTTTGATTTTTATTCATTAAAAATATGAATCATTTCAATTTCTACACATCCTGCAAAGAAAATTATTCTACCAAATCAAATGTTTAAATTGAAAATTAACATACATAGGTGAGACAAGCCGAATTTTGAACAAACGTCTTTATAAACATGAAAAATAATTATGAAAGAAGTAAACAATTTAAAATAATGATAATCGAACTCGTTAATAAATTTAAATCTTAGCATAGATTTACTAAACCCAAAAATTCTATGCTTTAAAAAATTGTAAATCTCCTGAATCGAAAATAATTTTTTTTACATATTTTTATGAGAAACAGATGTAAATGATTCAATAAACATTCGATTGATAAGCAGATGTACAATTCGTATTAAGTCTTACTGGTTTTTGGCAAAGGCAGGTCTAGCCGTTTCGAAGAACGGGACAAAAAGTGCCAAAAATGGTGTAGAAACATTGGACTGCTAGTCTTCATATGTTTTGTTGTATATATAATGCTCAACATAGAAGGGTATGTGTGGACGTCACATGTCCGAGCGAACATTGCCGACGACAGTCGCGGACTCTCCCGATTGATTAAATGTTACATGTTGCATGTTACGTGCCTAGCAGAGGGCTTATGATATATAAACGGATTTTAGGAGGCGGATTTGATTTTATGTACCTTAATAAATTATTAACTCTTTGGGGAAGGCTGTCCACCTGAGTGGACAAACATACTCTGTGAGGCACAGGTCTATTTTATAAACAATGACTCAGTTTGCATCAAAAAGTTGAATAAATTACATATAGCAGTAATAAACAGTATATTGAAAATAATTTTAAGTTATTTTAGTAGTATATTTTTAGCTTTTTTCTTTGCTACATAGTTTTTCTTAATATTTAAAACGACCGAGCGCTTTAAATATGGCAAAAACAACTGGTAAATTTTGTGAATTAAGCAAAGTAGTGAAGATGAGTTTCAAATAGACATTCATACAGACAAATTTACGAAATTACTATTCGCACTGAAGATATTGATGAATGTGATGATGATATTATCCAACCAAAACAAAAAGAAGAAGTTCGACAAAATAAATGCAGAGCGGAAAGACATTAGCGAATGTGCCGATTCTCCTTCAATAATCGAGTTTGACATACATTAACAAACACCCCGACTACAAATACCAAGCCATATAAGACATCCAATAGATTATTTTATTTTATTTTTTACAAATGAATTATTAGACAATATAATAGAAAAAACAAACCAATATGGCAGCAAAAAAATGAACAAATATACCGACTAATCAGTGGCATATTCTAAATGCGAGAGAAAGAAAAGAGGATTGTATTGTCTGTTCTGGAAAAAGCACCAGGAGAAAGGCGGCAAGCAATATTTTATTGTATAACATGTAAAAATCAACCAGCTATGCATTTTGGAAATTGTTTCGAACGTCACCATTCATTATAAAATGATCAAAAATAAATTAATATTAAAAATGTATGTCCTTCAATGACCACAAATTTCTATCAACAAATTGCATAACATACACGATGAAATCAAGTTTACAGCCGGTACAGTAGATTGTTTTGAAATCGGTGCCGTCCCGTAAGTGTAAATCATTTCTAACAAAATTTTCGGCCATCACAATTGCCATAATATTATTCAAATAAATCATATGATATGTGACATTTAACAAATCGGGAGAGTCCGCGATTTTCGTCGGCAATGTTCGCTCAGACATGTGATGTCCCATACATACCCTTCTATGTTTGAGTACTTGTTTTGCGCTCGACTAGCAGTCGAACCAATATAAGGTCTAAGGTATACCCGTATGCACGTATGTATGTTGCATCGTATGTATCTATTAATGTATGTATGTAGTTGCATGTTATTTCATAAATATTAATGTGTAATTGGTCGTAATTGCGAAAGATCGTAGCCTTAGCTAGTAGAGGTAGCGGTCTAGGCAGCATTCCGGACGCAACGTCATCCGTCGTCCGTCGTTCACTTGCGCACACTCGCAATTTCAAACCAACAAAACGACCAAAAAGAACCAAAGAACGAATGCGTTCACTGTTCACCTGTTCGAGATAGATACTACTGTAATATATACATGCACAAATATGCATCCAATTGCATCAGCACACCGAGAAAGAAGACGAGAAAATATATACTGAAATGATGTGCTTAATCATCGAAAAACTTAGACAAATGAAATAGACAATGGCAAACTCTTTACTCCTCATTAAACAAAAACCGACATTTCAGAAAACCGATTTTCGAATTTTAATTTTACAAAAAACCGGTTTCAGCCGGTTTTCGAATTTTATATAAAAAATAAATTTTTGCTCGCATATTCTGTAATTTATCCGCAAATTTAGTGGGATTTAGAGCAGTATTTGACTGAATT